AGATGTTTGGCAAATTCTTCAGCTCTAGTCTCATCTGACGAAGCCCAGGTTCCATCATCTCGTCGGAGTGGGTGGGAAATAGATTGGTATTTAAGGATTTTTTTGGTCACTTTCCAGAGGGAGTTGTCATCGGTAGAGAGGGAGGAAAGGTAGGAATTGTAGGATTGGGATCTAAAGGTCGTCAGTTCTTTTTTAACCTGTTTGGAATAGTAATTATATAATTTCCGATCTTCAGGATGCCTGGTTCTTTGCCAGAGGGTCCTAGATTGGCGTTTGGATTTAATAAGGTCAGTAAGGTTTTGGGGCAAGGGATTCTTTTTGAGGGATTTTTTGGAGGGGAGTGGTGAGGATGCAGTCCAGACTGCTTGTTGGATCAAGGTGGTGAAGGAACTCACTGCATTATCTAGGTCTTGAGGAGTTTTTAGGGGTACTCTGAGGTCTATTGCATCTGTTATTGTTTGGCGGAAAAGGTTCCAGTTGACTGGGCCTCTGATGAATGAGGGAGGAGATAATTTGGAGATAGGCGATGCCGAAAGTGTTAGGTTCAGCGGATTATGGTTTGAGGAAAGGTCATCGAGCCGTGAAATTGAAAAATTTAGCGGCCCTAGGCCTTTGTGAATGAAGAGGTCAAGGAGGTCAGGATTACGGTTAGGATCTGTTGGCCAGTATGTAGGAGTATCAGGAGAAAGGATGTTGCTATTATGGGAATTAAGAGCAGACAGCAATGTTCGCCCGCGGGAATTCGTGGTTCTGGCTCCCCATTGCTGATGTTTGGCATTAAGGTCTGCACCTATAAGGAAATGGTGTCCTAGGGAATTAAGAAAGGAAATTAAGTTAGTTTCAGGTATTGGTTTTTTAGGTGGAGAGTATGCTGCGACAACTGTAACAGGAAAAAGTGAAGTTTGGATAGTTATTGCTGAGGTTTGTAGGAAATCGTGAACTGGTAGGGGATACAAATGATGGGAGAGGGATTGGTGGATGATGACAGCAGTTCCAGCATGTGCTGTTTCATCAGTGTGGTCAGTTCGATATATCTTGTAGCCAGGTATGTTGAACTGTCTTTTGTTAGTTAGTCGGGTCTCAGTTATTAGGCGTATGTCTATGTTATTGTCCTGTAGAAAAAAGGTTAGTTCGTTAATATGATTTCGAACACCATTCGCATTCCAAAGGAGAATGGAGAGGGGTTTTATTGAGGACATTCAAGGAATTCTTGGCGGTGGAATAAGATTGGCTATGACGTTTGTAAGTAAGGTAATGAGCGGGGTGATGAGGGATTTGATTTCGGAGAGGAATAAAGTAAGAAGGCTGGTAAGGTCATTGGAATTGTTAGGGGGAGGAATGTAGGATATTTGGTGAGGACTGAACTTTTGGGTGTTATTATGTTCGGGTGGTGAACCATGAGGTAATGGCTGAGTTTGCGGCAGGGCCTGAGGTTGAGAATGCTGTTCTAGTTCTCCTAACATTTGTGCATAAGAGACTTCTTTGTTTGCAAATCTTGAGGGTTGCCTTGGTGGTCTGGGAGTCCTGTAAGTCTCTTCATGTCTAGGTGCTGTCTGTAATCTTGATTTTAAGATTTTATATGTCTGGCATCCTTTGTAGTTTGCAGGGTGATCTTTATGGCATAATGCGCATACCGCAGGAATTTCCTTGGACTTACTGCAATCTTCCGACTTATGTTGTTGCCCGCACTTCACGCATCGCGGTAAGCGGTGGCAATAGCTTTTAGTATGGCCATATGATTGGCAATTATGACATTGGACTATTTCCCGTTTTGCATATGGTTTTTCGACAACTATACTAGTATAGTACAGGCGTCTTAATTTATAGATGTTATCAACCCCAGTGGTGCGCTCTAGGTCAACAAAAAAAAGTGGTAGGGCTATTTTGTTGTTTGTACCTGGTTGCTCTTTGTTATCTTTACATACGTTGACAATTTGGCGGACACTGAAACCCAGTTCTGTCAATTCTTCTTTGATTGCCTCAGGTGGAGTTGATGGGTGGAGGCCTCTTATTACTACTCTTAGTGCTCTCTCATGGAATAACTGATATGTATGGAATTCCGCCTTTGTATCAGTCAAGTATTTTATTATTTTTCTATATGATTCAGGGGAATCTGGTATTAACTTGGTGTCATTGATTCGACTTTGACATGTGTATTTACCATTGTCAAGTAATTTATTTAAGTGCTGGCAAAATAACGGAATATTTCTTATAGATATTGGAGGTGGTTTTGGCTCTCTGGGAGTTGATGGTATTTCCATTGTTTCTTCTGGAGTATTAGATAGTAGTTGGTATGCGTTAGGAGTAAAAAATGGTGATTCATCTGTTTCAATGTTTGTTTCAGTGGTCATAATTTCTGTTGAGGTACCAGATTGTGGTTTATTTGGTCTGTCAGGTGTAGATGGTGGTGTTTTTCTGTTAGAACGCCTAGGTTTTTGCTTTACTGGCGAATTGAGAGAACTATTATTGCCTAAGCTTCTCGATCTTTTGTTCTTACTAGACATTATCATATGATAATATCGTATTTCATGTCAACGACTATTGAAAAAGTTTTTTTTTTTTTTTACGTAAAAATTACGCAGACCGATAGAGGGCCGAGTGATATGAACCAGCTACTTAAAAAACTCGACAGGTACTGAGACTGCCGGGCTCTAATTGTGAGGACTGCAGATAAGAATGGCCACTCTATCTAATTCTATGGTTGTTTACACTATTGTTCAAACTTAATAAACAAGCGGTTACTCACTGTGTTTATGGTTCTGTTCAAGAATTAACTATATAATTGTTAATTACACTGATTTTTTAACATAACAGTTCACAAATTCACTGATAATTAAGATACTTGTGAGAGACGATGTAGCAGGTGGGTTGTTAGATACTAGCGCATGCGCAGGATTCAGTTCTATATTTCAACGCTACGATCACCAAATCTGGAATTACTTAATCTGGAACTTACTCACTGCCTGTACAGATATATCACTAAAATGACTTTACTCAAAAATGTTGAGATTGGAGATAGTCATTCTGTCAATTGAAAGGCTCATATGTTACATAATGGATCAAAACGTTAGGGCCAGCGTTTCCACTATTTTTTTTTTTTTTTTTTTTAAGATTTTTTCCCCTTTTTTTACCTCAGTACAAACTTAAAATCCCTTCCGACCAAATGTATGCAAAATAATACTTTTTTCTCCCTTCCGACATTGGAAACTCTCTAAAAAAGAAACTTTTCTACCAAAGTGGAAATCCTGGTTAGGGCTGCGATAAATACTATATACATAAACATCCACTATTTTCGTAAATGGTGTGAAAAATATTTTATATCATAGATTTCGGGAATATGAAAATTAAAATTTGTATATATATATTTCAACCCTCCCCTGCCTGGAAGCAATACGGGTATTTGCAGCAGTGGGATGTTACTGTTACATAACAACCCACTGCTGCATGTTTTGGCTATTACATTATTTGCACATTGCATTAACACACATTACTGTGCACACTCTTCTCTTCACTTGCACCTGGTTTTATTTTCTTCTTATTCTGGGCCTCCCCGGTGCAGCTTCTTTTCTTCTTCCCAAAGAGAAGTGGGTTGGTTGTACAACTTCTTTCCATCCGTATATAAAACGTTTGAAGTGCAAGTATTTGTCTTTGGCCATAAGTTGAGTTAGATCTCTCTCTATTAGGACAAACAGACCTGTTTCTCTCAACAGTTTAGCCCTCAGTGACTCATAGACCGCACAGGTAAGTACAAGATGTTCAGCGGTCTCCGGTACCCCACAACTTGGGCATAGGGGATCGTTATTTATACCGTACTTAACTAGCTTTGCTCGGAAACCCCAGTGCCCCGTGAGAATCTGTAAGATCCAGTAATCCGGGAGGACCCAAGTCGCTTCTAGTCGCGAACTGACGGAAGTACTTCCTTAGGGTAGCTCCTTTGGGAGTCGTCAACCACCGTCGGTTCCAGTCCTCTACTGTATCCTCCCGGAGGATCTTCTTCCAGTTTCTTGAATAATCTCCTATTCTCACTCGGAGGTAATCCGGTAGAGCCGCTAAGCATTCTCTCCTAATCTTGTACCGGTAGTAGTCTTCTCTCAGCAGGAGGTCGAGAGGTTTTCCTCCTGCCAAGACCTGCATAGCCTCATGAGACACCGTCCTGAATGATCTGGAGACTCGAAGCAGGGCCATCCGCTGAATCGTGGCCAACCTACATTTCTGTCTGTGAGAGAGATTTTGGCTCCAGGCAAAAAAAATTGTGTATATATATATATATATATATATATATATATATATATATATATATATATATATATATATATATATATATAGATATAGATATAGATATAGATATATGCTTAAATTTAAACTAATAAAAATACCCACAATGAAATAAATATTAACAAATTAAGCACACTCCTTCACCATTGGCACTCTTGTCAGACTAAATAAATTCATAGCACTGTTATAATTGAATAAAATATTGAAATAAGAAGGAAATGGACAGCGATAAAAATTTAATGAATTAGGCAGGTGGGAAATATATATAATAAATAATATGCTGTAAATCCTATAATTTTTATTTTCATCTATTTGTATTCAAATCTGGGTGATAAATGAAAGTTTTGTTGTGATCCCACCGCACCAGATTTTAACTTTTTTTTCTATAGAGCAATTAATTTTAGAATAATATATTTAGGAATGGAAGGAATTTATTTTTAAAAAGTTTGAAATTTGTAAAATATACAGTAAGTGGACCAATTTTAGGATTTTTACTTGATTGATATTTTTTTTTTACTTCCATTGGAGTTCTACCATTGTTACCGTTGCTCTTCATGTTGTTAATGTTATGTTACCAATTTCACATTTACTTGTTGTATGTTTCATGTAGTACAGTAGTAAATTTCAGTAAAATAAAAATAAAAATACAAATAATTTTTTTTTCGCCAAACATGTTGATCTCAAAGAATTAAGTATACATTGAAAACTACTAGATTTAGACTTACCTATAAAATGCTGAAGAAGGAGAATAACAAAATCTTTCAGATAGTTTTTCGACTTGTTGGCTTGACTTTGGCTATAGCCGTAAATTGTTTTATTTAGGTCAGTAAGAACAACTCCTTTGCTAGTTGTATTCATAATTTTCAATAAATCCACAGTTTCAGATTTATTACCAGGACCATGGCTGTCATTATTTTCCATAGCTTTATGAAATATTGTAAATAAATATGCATGAATATTGAGAATTGGTAGACACAAATTTGAAATATAATATAATGAAGTATAAGTAAATTATATATAAATAGGTTTCAAATGAAAACAAATGTTAAAGGTAAGGAAGCTAGGATTGAATAGTGTAGTTTAACTCACCAAAACCCTTAGGTTTTAAGAATGGGCCATGTATTAAAGAAGTATCATTATGTTTTACAGTTGGTTTTGTGGATTTCTCACTTTTTAATATTGTTTTATTGCGTATATCGTCAACGAAGGGCAATGTTTTGTTTCCAAGACCTCAACAAATAATAATGTCTTTATGTTAACATTATAAAACTAAGTGTCAATAACTTACATTTAAATATAACACAGATATAGGAATAAAATAATTCAAAAACTAGTCTTCTGAAGTTAAGGATTCGTTTGACAAATAAGTATTATATAAAAGAAAAACTGTCTTTTTTTCTGAGAATAAACCTGCTATAAATTTGTTAAAACTATCTAATTGCCTTCATGAAAACCTTAGAAAGCAGGGAAGTGTTAGGATTAAAAACAACCTTTATTCAATTTGTTCATTATATTATATAGAAGTAGTTTTAATATAGATTATGTATAGTATTTCATTTAAAAATATTGTAATAAACTTTTATTATGCCCTTATACTTCTTAATGTTGACCAAATATATTTAATAAGGATAAACAATAACCTTGCTATATGTAGCTTGTTATAGCTTTGCAGATATGTAGTGCATTATGAATTGCAGTCCCTATTCGGAACACAAGAACAAGTAAAACAGATAAAAGCTTATGTCTGCCGCTAAAATGGGCAGCCTCCCTCCCCAAATTAGATTAAGGTGCTATGGGTGACTTTGGATATATCGATGACCCATACACTCAAGAACAATATCCTATCTAAAGAAAAATAAAGAATAGTACCGACCAAATATTAAGAAATACACTCTGAAGAGGAAAATGGTGTATACTCCAAGCTCTGTATATGGAACTTCAATGAATCCTTGAATAACTATATTTTTTTAGGAACTTTAAATATTATAAGAAAAAAAAAATTATAAAATGTATGCTAATTATAAAATGTCTATGTGTCGAAAAAAAAGTGACAATTAAAAAAGTATAAAATGGATTAGTCATTAAAATGCCTTATTTTACGCACAAAAGAATGGATACTAATTAAATAAATAAAAAAATGCTATAGAAAGCAATGGAAATGGCTAAAAATGTAACTTGGTTTAGGAAGAAAAAACAATACTTATTTCTCCATAAGTGAAATTCTCTGAATCTCATCCAGACATATAATGAGATTTTTAATTCAAATTAAATTTAACTTTAACTTTTTTATTATTAATATGGTTCCTTAACGAAAATCATTAATATGAAAGAAAATTTCGACTTGTCTAAAGATGTAAGAAGAGGCAATTTCGTTATTAAAATGGTTGAATATTTTAGTTTCGTTTACAAAAACGTTTGTAGTCGTTTAAGAGAAGATTAAATCTTTAATGTTTGACATGAGCAATGAAGTGTTATTGAAGCGCAATAAAAAAATTAAAAAAATTCCTTTGATATTTTATTAACTCAAATAAAAAAATTATTATTTTTTTTTAGACAGAAGTGGGGAGCGGGATAGCTCAGTCGGTGAGCACTGACTTCCAGAGCTCAAGGTCGCAGGTTCGAATCCCTCTGATGACTAATAGTTTTTCATTATCCGTGAATCGATCCTGGGGTCGGGAGACCCTCCTGGGGCACACCCAGCCTCAATAAAGTTGGTACTCTTAATTAAGAAATTATGAGTACCAACTTTAACACCGGGGGAAAGCCCGGCGGTTGAGCGTGATATTGGCCCCATCACCTCCCTTCAAAACCGTTGGCTTTGTAACAGTACTTCCTTACATAGAACTGCGCCCAAGACTCTTCACGAGTTTTAGTGAGGCTAGGGAGTGAGGGCGAGGGATTAGTGGCAGAGTTAAAAACCCCTCTCGGTACTGAAACGAGAACTTGGAATAAGTTTTATCGTTCACAACTTCGGTTAAAAGGTGGCTGTGCACACTAGTTAGCCCGCTCGGCCACCCCGCCACAGGACTACCGCCATTTATATCAACTTCCATCGCTGTTGTCAGTGCATATAAATCGTTGACATCATAATATTCCTAAATAAACTCCTCTCTCCCTCCTCCCTACTCCCCAAATAATATATAACAATTAATCAATAAATATTATTACTACAAATCATATATAAGCACAATATCCAAAATAAAATCTTAAATAATGGTAAAATATAAATCTTAAATGGTAGGTAAAACAGATCCGTTAGTTATTTTCTCGATTTTCATAAAAAAAAAACACTTAATTTACACAAAATTTCCTATTAATGTTATTTAGAGATTTATTGCAACATTAAACTGTAATAAGCTTTCTTAGAACGAAATCGCTGGCGTACAAAAATATGAGTTTATGTTATTTATTAAAACATCACATCAGTAAGCCCAATAACAGTTGATAAGTTGAAAACTTACTAAGCCTGCTGTAACCGGTCACCACATGAACAGAGACTAAGTTTTCACGAAATGATCTATGTGTAAGTGTATGTAAATAGTCCAGTTCAAAAACAAACATGAAACTGGAATTTCGTATTTAAGGCAAATATATGGCTGGGTTGCAACGGCAATTTTTTCTCCAAATTCGACTTACCGGAAATTGCACCTTCTGTCATGGAATTTAGGCATTATTGCATTTTTTTCAAAAACGGCTTTAACGAGTTTGATTAAACTGACTATATATATATATATATATATATAATCTAGTGCTATTTAAAGTAAGGCTGGTATTGAGTTCATTGAAATAGTTTGACAGGGATTAAATATGCTGATTTTTTGGATTTGAAAAAAATTCACAATTTAACTAGCAACTAGAAATGGTAGTGAGTATTAAGATGAAAGATTTGAGAGAAAATCTTCCGCACTATAAACGGAGTGATCTGGGAATACTTAAGCATGGAGGAGAAAGGCCAATAAACAGCTACTTACAGAAGTGTTCAATGAATAACACATGATATGAAGGCAAGAGGTTAAAATGGGTGAGACATGTAGCTCGGAGCAATCCAAATAGAAGCCTCTACAGAACAACGATTGCCTAAAACATGGCAATCTACGACGTGGAAGGCCAAAAATCAGATCAGATGGATAGATAGAGTTAACAAATATGCTATAGAGCTACATGCAGATAACTAGAAAGAAATAATCCAAAATAGGCAGACATAAAAAAGATTGATTAAGGCAGAAAAATATCTACAAGGTCTTTAATAGAAAAAAAAAAGTGAAAAGTAGTTAAATATAATAAATGAAAAAAGGGTTGATTGTTAACTACCAGAGAAATAAGGGTTAAAAACTATACGGAAACAGCTGAGAACGCAATATCTTCGCTAATAACCTCCGTTTATATATACACAATACCCCTCTGTACAGAGCTTTCATATTGTTAGTTTAATAATAACAAGGCTTAGCGAACTTGAAGGTTCGACACCGATACCACCAATCGATGTCTACGATTATATTACTCAATACATTATTTTCAAACGTATTTCCTTCAATACCTATTGTTAACGCCGCATTCACACATATCTTTAATTTTTTCACTATTACTTTTCTTACAATCCCTTTTTTAATTTTAATTAAATAAAATGTTTATTTATTTATTTTTTTTGTAAAAGTTTGAGGACAATTGTTCCTATAATGTATCTCAGTGTATATTATTTAAATATTGGGTGTTATTCGAGATGTTTATAGCTTATTTATATGCCACAGTCCGGCAGTAGTACCCCGTCTTAGGGATCAAGACATCAAAATAATGCGATAATATTGCTGGAAAGCCAGTCTGGAGCGAGATGCCATTCGTGTTGAACGTCTACCCCCACCATTTTCACCAGCTCCAGGCTCGTCTCGTCTCACCGCACCTAGCTTCATTTTGAAGAGCCCAGCTGTGTCATCAGTTACGGAATGGACTTAATCCGTAACAAATAATAATAATGATTATATCAATTTAACTTTTATTTTATTTAATATGACAATTGGTGAATCATGTTTTATCTTTTAGTTTCTCACATAAAAGCACAAAGCCCTAGATAGCCAGGTCAAGCTATCTCTGATAGCTTAGAAATAGTTATCTAGAATGCACTGACGGGACAGAAGACCCATTATCAAGAGGGAACAATAACCGATTTCAGCCAAAGGGCACAGACATCTTAAGAATATTAACTATTGATAACTTCCTTTTCCGTCCTCTTCCGACTTCTCCCACTCTTCCCTTCACCCCCCTGCTATTCTTGGGTATATTACCCTCACGCTCCTCAGACCAAACCACTCATGTAGTTACATTCTTGAAGTCATACTCTTAACTGTAGGAGACATGGAGTGAGCTCGTGTAGTCAACCCATTATCCATAGTATATTACTCTGTATTTTAGATACCATTTGTAACAGACATTATGATTAAAATCATTACTTAAAAAGTCTTCACTGCCTCCGATTCGTTAACTATCGATCAGGTTCGATATACATATCGATTCCCCCACTATCGACTGCTGTTGTCATTAGCTGCATAAGGTAACCTGGTTGAAGCAGAACCTCCAACTTGGTTCGTTTTTTTTTTCATTCTCACCATCACCAAGACATTTAAACATTAATTTAATTTTGTTTCCCCAATAAATTAGTTTACAGTTATGGTTTTCTCTTGTTTTATTTATAGTTTTAGAAGTTGATTTTAGTTATATATTTTTTCCTAATGTTTAATTTGTTTTTATTTTTCACTGGATATTGTATTTTGATTTTATTTCAGTGAATTTTAATAATCATTTTCATTTGTTTGGTTTAACTTTTGTATATATATTTTTTTATCTCAATAATAAATATTGTAAACATTCAAAAAAGGGGCATTATTATTTTCCATTTTTATTAACTCAATGCTTTTATTTTAATGTGCATGTTTTGTTTCTCTTTTACAGGTCTCATATCCACTCATTTTTCCCTTCTTTCCCACCTTTTAATTTTCCTCACCTTTGAGGAAACTCACCGGGAAAAGGTATGTACAATCGATTTTGAAGTACCCTTGGTCATAACACCAAAATTGTTGCCATTTTTACTGTTAACCATAAATTTTGTTTTTCCTGTATTTATTTCGTGCCACAGTTGTTTACAGGCTTTCATTAACGTTGTTTTATACATCATACCAGTTTCCAGTAAGCCAAAAATAATATCCATTTTTATCGCAAATTAAATTAATGCTACGTAA